AGTATGTATTCAGTCTGATCGAATGGTAGTAGCTGTTTTATTACCATAATTGGTATTAAGGTCAACATGTAGGATTTTTTGACTATATAAGAACATGTTAACTTAATTGATATTAAGAGTGTTATGTTTAATACTTTATTTTACTGAATTATATTGTGTTTACTTTATTACCTCAGTCATTGTTAATTTGTATTTCAGGGTTAGTGTATGTAATTGTAAAATAAATGAATGTGATGTACAATTAAAGAATAATGAACCCTTGGACTCAGATTTATTAGTATTTGATGAAACAGAAAATTACATTTTTAGAATTTCCCTTCGGTATCATTCGCCTCTTTTTTTTTATATCAAATTAACAACGTGTTATAACAATTTGGAAAACGAAAACTAGCATGGGCCTAAAATTCTTCCGTACAAGGCGTATTAGAATTTTAAAATATTGGATTAATGTTATATTGAATAAACCAAGTGTTGTTAATGAGGCTTACATGCTTCTTTATACAGATGTTAATAATTGTAAAAGAGAATAGGTGTGTTGTGTTCGGGAGTTATTAACTTATTCCGACCTGAACTTTGTTTAGATTTCTCAGGATGTAGCGTAGTTTTTGATATTGTGTACAAAAACGAATTACTGATCAGTTTTACAAGAGTGGTGAGCATCGTTGTATGTTTGTAACTCATTTGTATATTTGGATGAATCAAGACAGAGACAGATTTATGTCTAAAAACTTCAATTTCTGTTGTGATGTTCGATTGCTTACAAAACTATAAAAGCTAGTTAAAAGCCATTCACAATTAACAATAACAAATCATGCATCAGAGACTAAAATCAATTTAAACACATCCCAAGGATTTAGTGTTTTAACGCCATGGACAGTCAAAGAAGACATGACTTGTGCAATGCCAACATAAAAGTATTGACAGGCAGCAGGATAGTTAGAATTTATGTTATATATAGATAAAGCAGTCTCTAAATAGTAAATAAACGTGGATGTGTATTTATGCATAAAAAAAAACCATTCGAAAAGAATACAAATTTAGTTATGTTTTAATTTGTTGATGACAAAATCGATGTAAGTGCCAATGTAAACAATATTCAAAGATCTTATTACAACATTAATAAGATAACCTTTAATAAAAAGTTTTTTTAAAAGTTCGATGAGTTTACACGGATCCCTTAGTGATTTGATTTCTGTGCTTTAAGTACAATATTACCGTAAAAGGAGTAGAGCCATGAACCCCAATAAACGGCTTGTTAAGCTGGGTTTTTTTTCAACCTCAATTTTTAAAGGAAATATAATGGGTATGCATTGATAAATGTATGATATTTAAAAGTATAAAACGAAAATTGTATATCTGCTTTATATGTATAAATAGATTAGCCTGAAATAGGAATAGTTATAATTTTTTTACATTTTTCTAGAAATTTGCCAATTTTTGCACCTTTTTTTTTTTGTTGCGGCATCCCTCGCCCATTGAATTTTTTTTGATTGAAAAGTAAAGAATATGGTATTTAAAGAATATTTCAGCCAAAATATTAGTGGGCAAAGCGTGGTGCCACCGTTAACTTTTCAGAAAAATGTCATTAATTTTGCAGAATTCTGCAAAAAACCAGGGTTTTACGAAATTCCCCTTCATTATAACGCAATTGGTAAAATTATGTTTTTAACTGAAACAATTGGACATTTTATAGATATAAGAAGATGTGGTATAAGTGCCAATGAGACAACTCTCCATCCAAGTCACAATATGTAAAAGTAAACCATTATAGTTCAAAGTACGGCCTTCAATATGGAGCCTTGGCTCACACCGAACAGCAAGCTATAAAGGGCTCCAAAAATGACTAGTGTAAAACCATTCAAACAGGAAAACCAACGGTCCAATCTATATAAAAAACGAGAAACGAGAAACACTTAAGAACCACATGAACAAACGACAACTATTGTACATCAGGGTCCTGACTTAGGACAGGTGCAAACAAATGCAGCGGGTTTAAACGTTTTAATAGGCGCCAACCTTCACCCTAACCTGAAACAATAGTGTAACATCACAACATAGAAAGACACACTATAAAATATCAATTGAAATGGCTTAACTTATTCAAAAGACATATTAACAAAAACAAGTGAACCTACATTGAACGAATAAGTTTGATCTATGACACAATGTAAATACAAAATTAATAAAAAAAACAAAGGGGTGAGATGTAAAACAATATCAGAAAAACAACCATAACCTTGAAAAAAATGCCGCCAAAAAAATAACGTACACAGGTAAATAAAAATAATGTTGTTGTAAGGTATACATGGAGTACAGAAATATTTTTAACAAAATAAATAATTGTGTTGTTATTGGACATTTTAGCATAAGTTTTAATCAAGTTTTCGCTACATTATCACAGTGAGAATTCTACAGATTTTTAGGGTTGAAATACCGTTTTTAATAAGTAAAGCCAAATTTACTACTCAAATCTTTGTATCTATGTATTTTAAGTAATCTATGGCTACGAAATCCCTGCCTTAATAATTTACCAGTGATGCATTGATTGCGATCGTTTAAATCTATGACATCACTACACAGAAGGGCGTAACGAACGAGTTTGGATATAACATGTATATGTTTTTTTGCAAACAAACATACTCATTCAAGGTATCAATTTCTAAACAAGATTTATTTAAACATATTTATAATTATGCTCCAATAATTAATTAATATATCGTAAATTAGGTGTTTATCATACGAAAACAGCAACTGTATAATCAACAAAAAAATGTCCGAGTTACGCCATGTTAATTAATTTGATAAAACAAAATCTGATAACAATATATGGTCTCGTGTTTGAATAAAATAAAACAGTAATGTGCAAAGACTTATGTATAAATATAAAGGATGATGGTTTTATTAGGCTTTTATTTTTCCTTTCTAGTTAACGTTTAACTTATACATGTTATATAAGAATTCCAGATTCTCACATAAAATGCAATTTTCAACCAGTTTAGCGAGTTGCCTAGCTGAGGGATTCATTGATTGCCCTTGTTATTTCATGTTATTACATAAAAGTATGGTTTGTACAAAAAAGCCACCACTTTTCAAACTTACACAATAAAAAGGGAGAAATCCTTGATTACATTTAATGTTTCCATGGACTACTACATTTATATTCAATAAACTTTATCTGATAAAATAACACATATAGGTACGAACATTGTTATCTCAGAAGATATTAACAAATTAGAACTTGTTATTATGAATAGAGTCTCATATTAATCACTATTATCATCCATATACCGTTTCTTTCGTATAACGCCTATGTTAAAACCAGTCCACGTTGAGCTTGAATTAAGAGAAAAAGTAGCTTACTTTGTTTTTTGTTTCAAAAAATAAAACCGAGCGGATTTTTAAAAATTGATACAATCAATCTTCAAACATAAGCAAGCCAAATGTCATTTTAAAAAAGAAAGATTCATTTACTTGTTTTGAGCTTATTATTCAAATCACTCGGAAAATGCATCTTTTCCCCAATATGCCACAATTTGACGTCGCAAAAATTATCATTTTACGCTGACAAACTCATTATCGCCCTTGTAACTGTATCGAAAACATCACACTTAGCAACAAACGGAATACAATCAATAAAATACTAAACTAACGAACGTATTAAAAGTAAAACCAAAAAATCATTTAACAACATAAAAAAAGAATGATCATAATATATTAAATTAGCTTAGTTTGAATTGACAAAAAATGAGGGACCGTATCAAGCTGACTCATGCTTTAAATAGTTGTAATGTTAGATATATATTATTTGCAGACACCTTACATGGTTAATGAATATAAATTATTTTACTACTCTTTTTTTTTTTAACATTGTGACAGTTTTCATCTTTTTCTTAAAGGGCTGGAAATGTTGTTTCCTAATGTATACAACTTCATTTAAGTTTTTGATAACTAATTCAAAATTGTAAGTTATTGTGAAATTCTTCTTATTATTGTACCAATTTGGTAAGTGTTGTGAGATAGCCATTTCGTGTCCATTGCAACTGTTTAAAAACTGAAAAATTTACAATAATAAAAATAAGAAGACGTGGTATAATTTAAACTCTCCACCAGAGATTAAATTAAATGAAGCAGAAGTTAACAATCATGTGTCACTTAATGGCCTTCAATAATGAGCAAACTCCATACCGCAGAGCAAGTTATAAAAAGGACCGAAATGACAAAGGTACATCAATTTAAACAAGAAAATTGTCCGTCTGATTTATATACAAAGCAATAAACGAAAATCAAATATGATATACATCAACAACCGACAACCACTGAATGACATCTCCTGACTTTGGATAGACACACACAAGAGTGTGGCGGGAGTTAAACATTAGACTGTTGTTTTGTTACAGTCGATTTTAAACTGCGTCTAACACTTTTGGGTTGTGAAATATATGAAGTATCTGTATTAACGAATTTAACCAAATGTAACAAATCTAACCAGCCACTATCAGTGATGAAATGAACGACACTGGTTTGGACAATTTTTGTTTTGATTTGTATAACATGTTTGATAATGTGGTGTTTTTATAATCATAAAATATAATGATGAAAATGTTTACTGTGAACAATAAACGACAGATGTCAAATGATTGTGATAAAAACTACTTGTAAGTAGCTATGCTAAAAGGTTGCCTCATATCATTATTTTACTGCATTTCAATGATAGAGTTACATTATGTAGCAAGCATTTTGTAAATTATATACCCTGTAATAACAATTACAGTTATTGCTGACTGCTGAGAATCGTAACCATCTAATTTTGTATTGTCTCATACAATTAAGTCTAGATGTATTTTCATAAGTAGTATTTTGTTAATAACGTCATCTTTTGTTTTGATTATTGGTATCTACATAGACTACATATGCAAGATGTTGCGGATACCAACATACATTGTAGCAATAACAGTTTGATGAAATATTAATTATCGTTTTATTTTTATACAGTGATTTACCTTTTTTGGTGTATAAACATTTTTGTCTCCAAATTTATTTTCGATTCCAGAATTAGCATACACGTCATCAGCATTTCCATGGGTAATATCATCTGAATTTTCATAAACGCAGCCTGAAAACATATCAGCAATACTGAGTGAATTAACATTGTAATAAATATCAGAGCTCATTAATAAGCTTGGAGCATATAGGAAAGCTATCTGTTCAGTCAATGCACAATACAAAATTATATAAATGAAAGGAGATATTGTGTTAACACCATGACACTGCATCGAAAACAACTTTGACGACTACACTATAGAAACATCAGTACCAGTTGGTCTGGAATCAAAACTATTGAAAGGATTATTAATTTGAATGCTGAAATATAATATGCCAAAGAAAAACAGATCGAAAAAAACCTTAATTTTAATTTTAAAATTCAAATTTGCTGACACCACGTAAGTCTTGAGCATAAATCTTGTAATATTATGATCACGTTGCCTAAAAACGTACATACACATTTTTTTACATTAGCACATGCAATGAAAAGAGTAAACAAATAGTTAATCTAAATCAAGAGCATGAATAATTATGTGTTGTCGTCGTGTACGCCATATGTTGTTTATAACTAGACAATACGATTTTACATATTGTACTGCGTTTGAAATCAATGTGATCAGTACTAGTTGACTCGCAAGAATCGTGGAAGTAAATACAAATTACAATAGTCCTTTCGAACAGTACCGTATTTACTGTCAAAATTTTAAAAAAAAAACGGTCAAAGTCTCCAATGGCTGGGTTGCAATATTTGTGACTTAATTTTTACAAGTCTGGGAAAATTGAGAAAAAACAATCCTCAAACAGTTTCATAATTGCAACTTCAACATATGTGCAAATTTCCTGTGAAGTTTCAGGGATCTTGAATGAAAGGTGTAGGAGGAGCTGATTACACGTATTAAGGGCCCACTTGTCCCCGCCTGATGCCCGACACTACCATACTATCAGCTTGATTTTAACTTCATTTCAGGGGATATGCCTTGGTAACCTCAACATTTTCTAATATTTACACCATTTAAATGATAGGGGTTCTTGCATCATTTACCAAAGTCTTGTTGAAAATCACAGGTGCATTTTATGTGAAGGATATATTGAATATGACCAGTTTTGTGGGTACCCTGAGATTTGGTCGAAAACATAGGCATATACCGTATATCTGGGTTTTTTCGCGATTTGATGACAAAATGGGCAAGTTAAATATTCACTGTGTATAATTTTCGCTGAATTAGAACATACACGCGATAAAACAAACTCTATCCTATTGTTAAAAATGTAAACAACATAAACTTGATTAATCAACAGGTAATGGAGTACAAATGAATATGAGTTCTAAAAACGAAAATACACGTAATTCTGAGAACTTTCAAGGAAGTAATTTGTACACGGAGGCATGCTAAACATTGAAGGTTTTGATCATTACATATATACAAATATCCGTGTAATTGTGAATTATTTTTATTTTATTTTTACATTTGTTGCAAAATATTCGGAGTATGACACCAATCAATGGATCGACGCTAGTTAACAATTTTAAACATTTCACTGATTGCTGTGTTGTCAAAAGGTTTGACAGGTATCATGAGCCAATTAGTTATTATGCAAACAGAGATCTTAAAAAAGTATGCACATTCTTGTGATCTGTAGAACAACACAAAATTCTCGATAATTAACAGCCTAATGATAATGTATAAAACTTTCAAACAACGATAAATCTTGGATTTTGCTTTAAAATTTACGTGGGGTCAAATTTCCGCGGCAAAGGTGAATATTAAACGCGCGAAAAAAAAACCAGATATATAGTATTATTGTGTGGTTTTGCACATGTTTTCATTAGGAATACCCATGACGATCAAAATGCGTAGTATGAATATATTTTTAAAGTGATTTTGAAATATCAGGGTAATATGTGTAGCCAGAATGAAAATACATGGTACTTTGCCAGAAAAATAAAGTTATAGTTTAACAATTATTGTTGATGAATCTTGAAGATCACAAACTTTTATCGAATTTGACCGTTTGAAATTTACAAAATCTTCAAAAAAATTGGCTTACAGACAAAAAAAAAGAAACTATCCGAAATATAGTCTAAGCTGCATTATTTTTGTGTGATTAAGTGAAAACTGTTTTCACCCAATATTAACTGTAGTCGAGTTTATATGGAACAACAGTAATATTCAGCATGGGACGATTACCCATTGGAAGAATTGACGTATCAACATTATAAAACATTACGTTGTTTTCCATCACCAAGACTGCAAAATGCCACTGCCACTGTCATCAGAAGCTACATTAAATGTTTTGACAATCTTTTACTATCTAAGTTCTATCTTTGTGCTACTGTAGAATATCTGTTAGCCTTATATTGTGCAATGTTCAGAGCATATCTCCTTGAATATTACCGTTTGTATTTGAAACCAAAAACATGCAGTTAAGTACAGCCTGTCAACCAATAACTTTGCTCTAATACCTTATAACTTCATTATTCGATCATTTTTTGCTGTTGAATTTAATTTTTCCCAAACTATCTAAGATTTTTTTCTAAATAATAAATTAGAATTATTCCTAAAACTCCTCAGTACATTGTTAAACGCATTTCATGTATGAATATTAATTTTCTATCTTTTCAGGTTTTGATTTTGAACCTGTAAAAAAAATATAATTACTTAATCAAATGCTTGGTGGAGTCAAACTTTTCCAACTTTCTTATATACATTGTACTCATGCATCATTCTAATAACTAAATGTAAACATCATAAATGCTCGATCACTGTTTCAATAACTGTTAGGTTAAAACGCACAAATGATTTCAAATACCTTTGTCAGAGTTGTCTCCTATACCCCAGGTCTACCTCCTAAATCCAGATTAAAGGACTATTCAGTTAATGAACTGGACAGACGTCAGATAAAAAAATATAAAAACAGATCCTGCTATGTCGAGGTCTGCATCCGATCGTTATAGTTACATGACAACTCGTGAACTAATATAAGTACCAAAGCCAAAATACTACATTTGTATTTGTTTTTTTAAATGCTTCCTAGCCTTGTACGGCAAGGGAGATAAGTAAACATTAAAATAGGAAAAGTAGTGAGTTTCATTTATTTTTAAACTTAAACATACTGGTCTATTTTGTTTCATTGATTAAAAATAGGTTAAGTTTTCTATGATCGATAAATGCTACTTTTGTCGCCTGTGTATTGCAATCAATAATGTAACTTTAACATTTTCCTTCTTTTTTTTTGCAATGAACATAGCATTAGTCAAGAAAAACGAAGTATCACCTTTTCTTGCATATTGAGCAGTATTCACATAAAAGAACATATAATACATATTTGCGAGAATGATTGCGAAGTTCTATCAAACTTAATACGTGTTGTTGTACATAAAAAATAGCTGTAAACAACTGGTCATTTTCAGTCACACGCAAATTATTAAAAAAAAAGGGCAACCGTAGTATACTGCTGTTCAAAAGTCATAAATTGATTGAGAGAAAACAAATCCGGGTTACAAACTAAAACCGAGGGAAACACATCAACAATAAGAGGAAAACAACGGAACAACAAAAACACTGAAGTGCAACAAAAACCAAACGCCAATGCTACTTACATAGAAACGAACTATTTGATAACAAATGCCATATTCCTGACTTGGTACAGGACATTTTAAGAAAAAATGGTGGGTTTAACCTGATTTATGGCTGGCCAAACCTCCCGCTTATATGGCAATGTTAAAAATACCGCTAAATGACAACATTACGTGACAGGAATACAGTACAAATAAATGCAAGAACACTCAGAACAGAGAAATACATAAATAAATAATATTATAGTTCATTTCGACATGTAAACCACAGAATAAGTGTATAACAAAAATCACCTAAATGTAAATGGCCAATATTTCAATGAAAAGGTATTCTAAATTTGGGTTATGTGCGTACGAATATTTGTTAACGTAAACAAAACAATGGAGATGCCTCAACAGGAAAGCAGCTATGCGCTTTGTGGAACTACAATTACACTTACCCATTTCTATTCCCTTATACTCCATATCTAAAATAGATTAGAATAGAAGGTTAAATTTCACAATAGATCTTTTCATTTCATACATGCACATACGAACCTCAAAGAAATGTATGAGTATATCTAATACACCTTCACAGAAGCTTCATGAAGCCTGACAAAAAAAAACATATTTCCAACGTCTGTGTATTAATCTTACAGTATATTGGTAAGGTTTTGTAAATGAATCCACTGTTGACCAAAGGTGACTTACATTATTTATATACTTGATAAAACCTCACAAAAAAATGTCGACAAATAAGAAGTATCAACTCATATTCTCAAATGTTTTGTATGTAAATCTTTCTTTTTTTTTTTCTTTTTTTTTTTTGTTATAGCCTTGTGAAAACAATTCGGTAGAGTAACCTTGTGTAAAACATTAGTCATCCGTTATTTAGAAGAATTAATCACGAAGGTAAACAAAAATATTGCAGCAGTATCAGTCTCTTTGTTCAAATACATAGCGTACCCTTTCGTAAAAAATAGAGAAGAGTAGCTTGTGTAAAACAATGTTCATCCGTTATTTAAAAGAATTGTTATTTTAACCAAGTATGTGTATTGTATTCAAGCATTCCTTATACACGGAGATACTGTAAACCAACTTATTTTCGATGATACTTTATATCGCGTTTAGCCCTTTCTACCCCACTTCGCGGCTTTTTAATTTCGCGGTTTTCAAATTCACTTGGTGTCGTTAGATGAGGGAAGATCCAAGTTTTTAATTTTCGCGACGATTCATATTCGCGTTATATTTCTACTCGCGAAAGTCGTGAAAATAAATCGGTCGCGAAAATTAGTTTGTTTACAGTACATTAACGTTAAGTTATAGCCTGATCACTGATAAATGCCTTTTCCTACTCTTTGGATATGTAAGTTGGTAAAAGAACGAAACCAATTGTCCAGTTTGTATCCTAATGGATAAATGGTGTTACAAGGTGTTAGACAAAAGCCCCGACTACCTAATTCCAGAGGCACTGAAAGGGGAGAAAAAAGTCAGATTATGCAATACTATTTCATAAGATATGTAAATAGCAAGCTAGATGAACCAAAATCGATACTTTGTCAAAATGAAACAAGGCTGTTAATTATACAGCATACTGACCGTTGTTGTACACAAGTGGAGCAGTAATCATAAAAAAAACCCTTCTCAATAGAAAAAAAGGAGATGTAGTATAATTGCCAATGTGACAACACTCCACCAGAGACCAAATGACATAGAAATAAATAACTATAGGTCACCGTCCGGGCTTTAACAATGAGCAAAACCCTTACCGTATTGTCAACTATGCAAGGCCCCGAAATGACAAATGTAAATCATTTCAAACGAGAAAACTAACGGCCTGATCAAAGACAATAAAAGAGCTTATTACCAACTTGGAGGTATTTGATTTCACGTTCATATATTTTGATGTTCTGTCACTCAGTTACCAGCACACTTATTTATGAAATATCTTTCTTCATTTTAAAATTTTGTCCACATTACAATGCTAAATGGCCAATATTCAATACCCGTCAAACTTTTAAATGTGTGAAATGGTCTAGTTGAAAGGGGCTACTAGAATAACAATATTTGTAAAGAATGTGATCACTTGAAAAGAAACAAAAAGTATAACAAACAAACCTTTATCCGACATTTTCTTTGATTTTGAAGCTTTGATTTTGTTTGTACCTAAAACATAAAGTTTGAATGTAACCGTTAATCAAACCATACAAAAAAACAAAATAAAGGATTTTTGACTACAACACAAATGATGAACATAAATCTGGTTTTAATTGCGATTAGAGATTAACAGCCATTTATTTCAATAAGTTGTAAGGACGATGAAACGTGATTCAAATTTATTAGAAATAAATCCGATCCAAAATATCTCTCATAACAAAATACAAATGCATAGTACATTGTTGTATGATATGATACGCTAGTTAGGTATAGCTCTTGCTGAAAGTCAAGATGTTTGTATAGTGTAGGAATAAATTTTGTGGGGAAATTTGCTGTTTGCTATACCACTGTTCACATTAACACACTAATGAGAATTCCACTAATTTGAATAGAATGGCTGTTGTACAGTCTTAAAACATATTTTGCTGTGTGTGTATAATATGTAATGAAGATTTTATAATCAGACTTGAATACGGAAACAATATTTAAGGTCTTTCCTTTCTTAATGGAAAGACATTACTGTATTTCGTTTGTTTATTATTATTATTATTATTCTTTTTCTTCCGCCGTTTTCAAAGTCAAAAGTCAAGAAAAGTACGCAACATATCAAAATGATCTTTAGTAGCAAGTATCGGGTTAATAAAAGCTATCTTGTATTAGGGGCACCAAAGTGTACTATTTACCTTATAGGAGTTATCTCCCCAATTACAAAAACCATTGTTATCGCTACTCTTCATAAACTATAAGAGTTAGCGGCAAATGTTTTTTTTTTAAATGTTCCTTGCCACATGTCGCAACTTTAAATAATTTTAACCGAAGCGATCCAGTGACTTCTTATAGGAGTTATTTCCCCTTGAATATTTTACTTTTCAATATGCATATGAATCTCATGAACCGTAAGTTGTAAAGACCTAGGGTCTTTTGATTTGTGATCATTGGACCATAACTTGAAAATATAGGTCAAGGTCATGTAAAAAAGGAAAATTGTGTGTTTTTGGCACTATTTAAAGAGTTTTATGTGTGGTTTAGTGCTTTTGTAGGTTGACATTGACCTTTAACCTTACTACTTGTTAAGTGATCTCTCAAAAGATAAATCCCATGTGTTTAGATATAGTATTTAGGCTTTCTATTCCGTCTTTGCATGATCAAAGTGGATCCGTTCTCTGTGTTAACCAACCAACCAACCAACCAACCAACCAACCAACCAATCAACCAATCAATCAATCAATCAATCAGTCAGTCAATCATTGCATGCATGTTTCTGTCTCATGTGTTTAATATGGGGACCAAGATCTTATTTGTTTCTATTTCGATTGTTTAAAGAGACCATATCCCACGTGTCTAATTAATTGATCAATCAATCAATCAATCAACCAACCAACCAATCAATCAATCAATCAACCAACCAATCATTCAATCAATCATTCATTGCATGCATACATGTTTCCGTCTCCTGTGTTTAATATGGGGTCCAAGATCTCCTTTTTTTTTTCTCGCTTGTTTCAAGAGACCACCATATTAAGTTTATTATCCAACCAACCAACCATCCAACCAATCAATCAATAAACCAACAAACCAATCAACCAACCAATCAATCATTCATTCATTGTATGCATGTTTCCGTCTTATGTGTTTAATATGGGGTCCAAGATCTCCTTTGTTTCTTTTTCGCTTGTTTCAAGAAACCCTATCCCACGTGTTTAATTAATCAATCAATCAATCAACCAACTAACCAATAAATAAACAAACCAACCAACTAACTACCAATCAATCAATCAATCAATCAATCAATCAGTCAGTCAAGCAACCAACCAACCAACCAACCAACCATTCAATCAATCATTGCATGCATACATGTTTCCGTCTCCTGTGTTTAATATGGGGTCCAAGATCTCCCTTTTTTTTTTTCGCTTGTTTCAAGAGACCACCATATCCCACATGTTAAGTTTATTAAACAACCAACCAACCAACCAATCAATCAATAAACCAACAAACCAATCAACCAACCAACCAACCAACCAATCAATCATTCATTCATTGTATGCATGTTTCCGTCTTATGTGTTTAATACGGGGTCCAAGATCTCCTTTGTTTCTTTTTCGCTTGTTTCAAGAATTCCTATCCCACGTGTTTAATTAATCAATCAACCAACCAACTAACCAATAAACCAACCAACCAACCAACCAACCAACCAACCAACCAACCAACCATTCATTCATTCATTGTGTGCATGTTTCCGTCTCATGTGTTTAATACGGGGTCCAAGATTTCCTTTGTTTCTTTTTTCGCTTGTTTCAAGAGACCCTATCCCACGTGTTTAATCAACCAACCAACCAATCAACAAATCAATCAACCAATTAATTAATTAATCAATCAATCAATTAACCAACCATCCAACCAATCAATCATTCATTCATTCATTCATTGTATGCATGTTTTCGTCTCATGTGTGTAATATTGTATTTACATCTCTTCTGAAAAAAAAAAATCCACATGCTTGTTATCAGATGTTCTGGGAAACTACATGTCTAATTGACCCATAAAATTTGCAGTCAGCAGGGTATACATGCATTACATCTTCATAAAACAACGTGGTGCAGATATCTCTCAAGAATTCTCCTAGAGAAAAGAAATTGCAATGCCGTAAAAATCGCTTGCTAGTTCCGTAAATCTCAGTGAAATCCTACAATAAAATGTCCGCTCCTAGATTGAAATACAAATCTGTGTTACAAACTGCTGCTGAAAAATGTACATTGTATGAAAATAATCGATAAACGGGTTTTAAAGTTACACAAGATCAATTAAATCCAAAGCATGCACTGCTCGTGAACTGTGATCGAAACGTCAATTACCTACAATGACAAAAGAAATACATTGTGTGTATTCCGTCGCTATACATGTTGTCTGTCCAACGTCCCCACCTAAAAAGAAATAAAAATACTAAGTTTTCGCTATTATAAAGCTTCGTCACGTGACGCCACAATCTGGCGCGAGACAAAGACGCGCGCGGGACCTAAAATAGAATAAAAACTTTCCAAACTAAATATAGAAACTTAACCAACACACTAATATGGACCTTTCAAAGAAAGAAACAAAGAAACAAACACACAAACAAACATACACATATATCAATCAATCAATCAATCATGTTTCAGAAGGGGAAAGACCGTTTACAATTGCTTTTTTAAGCAATTGATTTATATTTATATTTTTTTTTGTAATTTTTTTCATTCTTAACATAAAGACAAAATACATCAAGCTTGATTACATGTGTATAGTTTGAAGTATGGTCTTAAAGATATTTCCTTTCACGTAATTCTATTACATGAACATGAACTTTAAATAGCAAACATATAAATTATATAACTATAATTTTTGTAGCAGTTTTGCATATCTAAATCACCTTGTACAGATTATAATGGCAACCATTTTATATATATGACAACATACGGTGAATTATTTATCCCCTACACAATTATATTGTGTAGGTATTTTGTGTAGGGGATAAATAATTCACCGTATGTTGTTCTATTCTCACACAATATTTGAATTATTTAATTCTTCCTTTCACTGAAGGTTTTTCTCCTGAATGTTTAAAGCGATAACTATAATATTTTAAAATCAACTTATGTGATGAACTGTATTATATGGGTCAAAAATTTCCCCAATACCAAACCTAACATGCCTTTCGTCTATCTGTTTCAAGGTAAATACAGAGTTTAATAACAAGTTTTTAAGTGCAATCCAAATATTTCTACTGTATACACATTCCAAAAAGATATGCAATGAGCTTTCTTTGGTTTAAGTACAAAAAGTGAACATTTCTGTGTCTGCTAAACTAAATTTATAAAGAAAAGAGTTTGTACCTCTAATTCTATGTAATAACTTGAACTGAAAAGTTTGAGGTTTAGTGTTTCTTGTAGTATTTATAGTTAATGCATGACGTCTTTTTTTTCAGAATTTCATTTATGGATGAGTCTTGTTGATGTAACGAGTTTCTTATAATTTAGAAATTCTAATAAATTTATTTCATTATCCTTTAACTTTACTTTCAGCTATATAGATGATGCTCTCTCACTAAATAATTTAGAATTTGTGACTATGTTGAACGCATCTATCTCATCGAACTTGAGATAACGGATACAACAGATACAGTTAAGTATGCCTTACATCTAGAAATTGACAATGAGGGTCGGTTGAAAACAAAACTTTTCGACAAAAGAGATGATTTCAGCTTCCAAACTGTGAACTTATTCCAGGGCTTGTATTTCCATCATGATTTCCTTCAAAGAGGATTGCTGCTCACAAGGAAGCTATTAAACCAAGAGTTCCTAGTGGTGAGGTTAAAATCATCCCTTCGTAAATTTTAGGGACGCCATCACGAGTTGGTTGACTGTTATGAAATATTCATTTCACAGATGATACTTGATATATTCCAAATGTCGTAACTACAATCCCGTCCTCCTATTTTGCATTGCTTTTTAAATGTTTTTTTTTTGTAGACTCTGAAGTTATAAATATTCACATTATAACATTAATTATCAATTTTACTACACTTGTTTTTCTGATAAATTTATTTGGATTTTTTTTCTTCTAAATTCAATTGTATTCAGTATCAATCATTAATCCGTTCAAGCTGATGCATGTTCTTTCGAGGAGTTGTTATTAATAGAATTTCTTTGTTTTGAACTGTACATATGCATCAACAATATGATAATCCCTAACTAAGAACGAGATTTACATTTATTCTTTATAATTAAGGAACATTAAATCCTTCAATGTCATTGGTCGAGAGATTTATAGTGGTTTTTTTTTCTAAACAAGTTAAAGAAAGTGATTTTTTTTTAAACTAAAACACATTGATTATGCCTTTATTCGGAGGGTATGTCCAATCATTTCTGTTCTATTGCCCGTCTATAGATTTACAAATAATAATGAAACTAAGGTTTCAACTCCCTTAGGCACAGTTGACCATAGAGTAACTTGCCTATCTTTGTATGCCGTATTAG